ACAAAACAGTATTATACTTACTATCAGTGAGTATGCCGCTTGAGGTTTCAATGTAATAACCTTACAAGATGTTAAGAAAAGGAAGTCTAAAAGTAAGCGCAAACCCAAAATCTGGCTCTCTAAACTGTCTCAGGTTTTTAGCATGCCTGTGCCTGTCATAGGTCTATTTTTAATGTTCACTATGTAATTTTTTTGTTCCAGGCAAGATTGTTTCTGTGGATAGGACTTAGAGTCAAAATACCTCTGCGAATTTTGGCTGGTCACTTATGTTCAAGGCAGCAAAAAGATCTTCATGTTATGATGCTCAGCAATGCAGAGTTCCGTTCCTTAAATCATGTCTACAATACTGCACGAAACCTCTAAATTTTCTGTATATGCCTTGGGGTGAAGGCACCCCGCTGAAATTTTCAGTAAGGTTCGTGCTAGGTTACTGCTCGGCTACTAGGAAATGTTGATCCAAGAAGTAGCATCATCCTCTTACACTGATTACTGTGGCAGGGAAGACTGCCAGATTGGACATCCCTGCCTCAGAAATCTCTGCTTTGTTTTGGTTCCTAAATTATCCATTTTGAAGGTGGAGAGGAGCTATTCATTTTCTACAGGATCTCAGTCATTACAGCAGATGCCTCCCAAATTGCAATACTATGTCTCTGCAACAAATGCAGAGCCCCTGTTTTCTAGAAAGCCCCATCACCTAACCATTGTAGGCAGATTAGAGCAACAACATGCACTTTTCTCTCCAGGCATTATAAGATTAATAACAAAAAATAAGTAAGCCATAGCCAACAAATCACAAGTAATGTTCTGCCTAGAAGGCTTTTCTTTAACTGTAAAATGGTTTAATGTCTTTTTCTTAAAGCCTGAGGAAAACCAACAAATTGGAGCATCATCACTGTTCTCAATTTCTTGTATATGTGTCATTTTTTCTTTTTTTCTTTTTTTTTTTTTTTTGTAACACTGGGATTACTTCCAGTAAGGCTACATGATAGTAAGTTAACAACACTAGCCTCATTTTTGCTTCTTATGGGCTAGTCTGTAGGTTACAGCTGCAATTGCACTTGATGTCGATTTTCAAACACTGTTGTGTCAGTAATATTTAACCTATGCACTGGCCTGTAACAAAAAACCTGGGCTCTGGTGGCTCACCCCAAATCCAGTAACCCAGCAGCAAACAAAATGTGAGCATGACGACTAATTGCTTACCTGTCCGTTGTAGTGGGATTGACTACAGCCTCACCACCGGTGAGGATCACCAGTAGTTGGCCAGGATTTCTAGAGTAAATCATAAAATTGTGTTTTCTGATGATTCATCATTGTTTTCAGAGATAGGAGTCTGGACTATGTGGAGTAGGCATCTGATCTGTTTGACCAATTTCTCTGTCACGTGTAAAACCAAAGCAGTACAACTTCCCTGCGGGTAGGGTATGGGCTTCCCTGTAAATGAATAGTGCTGCACTGATTTCAGTACAACTCTACTGAGTTATGGTGACTGAGGATATGGTTCAGCAAGTGTCGATTTACCAAAGGAGAGAAAAAAGGAGATGCAGCCTACTTTGAGCAGCAGGCAGTCTGGCACACGTTTAATGTTTGAGGTACCATTTGGGAGAGCTTAGCTGCTTAGTCCTTCATTTATGTTCCACCTGCATCAGCTGCATGCGTTGTTTAAGTTGACTTTTGGAGAAAGATATCCCTTCCTCCTCTGAAACTTTTCATAACTAATGATGTGTCTGTTTCCACCACTCGTAGCACCTCTGTCATGAGGTGGCAGCTAAGTTAACCCATCTCTGCCAAGTGCTTGTTTCTCAAAGACATTTAGAATCACCTTTCATAGTTTGATTTCACTTTGGGTTATGACTGGATGTTGCTTTCAAGCCTCTTACCAGAGGACTCAGTATAGATGGTAAGTTGCATAACATCATGTCAAGTTGTCGTGGCTTTTAAACATCAAGCCCAAGAATATTCCAAATGTAAAGTTTCTCAACAGTAACTGAGACCAGAAATTCCAGAAAGTAGATAAATTACTTCTTTCTTATCCAGCTGAATCCATCTTTTTAAACTGAAATAGTGAGAGATTTATGTAGCAATCGTTTTCTTACTACTACTTCAATCATTCGTTTGTTATGTAGGCCGAATGCAAAGTGAAATGTATGTTAAAATATAAAGCAATGAGCAAGGATCCTATTAATATCTGAAAGATTTCATTTCAGAATTTTGTTACTATAGCTGAACAGCAAGAAGTACTATTTTAAGAGTCACTCATGCTGATTTATAAAATGTATTTCAAATTACCCACTGGAGGAATACAATACACGAAAAAAGCCATGTCTTAATTTTCTTTTCAAACAGTGTCCTTAATCCTCTTTCTGTTCTAATATTAGGATGTATGAACCATCTCTAGGGCCTCATAATTAAAAGCAGTCTGTCTATGCTACTTTAAAGCCCAAATGTAAGCAGAATTTTTAACATTTTTTAAAGATAAAATTGTGTTCTACTTTTTTTCCCCTAGGCAGATATAATTGCTAAGATGTAATAGTCTTCATGACTTCCAGTGAAGTTTCTGTCGAGGCTAAAAGAAGTCCTGCTTGCACTGCTCACTGAAAACATTCTAAGGGCCAATAAATCAACTTTCTGAGACTGAAAAGGCAATATGGCAGTGAGGTTTTCATCTGTACTATGTTTTCAAAGTCATTAGAGGTTTAGAATGGCCTACAGCCTTCCTCAGAAATGTCTCAGAAAGCCTTCAATCCATCATTTCAATTAAAATCACTACCCCCTGAGCTGCTGGCTTTGCCTTGAATAGCATAGTTTGCAAAGGAGCAAACCCTCAGCTCTATTCTATGTAAGACTCCCTATGTCTTGAAGATCCATATACCAAAGGAGGCTTTTGTGTAGTATTCACTTGTTTGAATACAGTTCAGTTGCTTTCTAGACTTTATTGACTCTGTTGACTCCTGGTTTAATTCAGTTACGAAAGCATGAGTGGGTAGAAGTGTTTGAGACATCAAATAATACATTTGAGACAGACTTCTACATGGGGCTGGCAAAATTCATGCAGGATCTACACAAGAGGGCTGAGATACCCTATAGCATCCTGAACAGCGCTAGCCATTCCTGGGTGAGTGAGACATCCTTTAAATATCCATGGACTGCAAAAGAAGCTCAGATAACAAGATCACACATAGGCACTGATATTATAGATGCTTTCTCTGAACTTAATTGCCTTTCCAGAGGCAATCATTTGGGGATGTCCTAGGGCATTAGGAACATCTTCACAATCCCAGCAGATATGATGCAGGACTACAGGGGACATGAAACTTTCTGAAGTGGGAGACGGAGACCAAGCTAATACATTACAGCACCTAAATGACACTAAGTATCTGTACTTAAGATGAATATAGACCCTACTTAACAACTGATGTCTAGAAATCCATTTAGTTGTTTAAATGTAGATAACTTTCTGTGAGATAAATATCACTCCTTCAGCTCCCAAAACAAGTCATTAATTTTTTCTCATTTCTTCATCTGGTAAAATGGAAACAGTGCCCCTTTCTAAGGAGTGTGTAGTATTCTCAGATAATATGGTGATAAAATTTTGTAATCCTTCAGATTAAACTATGGCCAAGATTACCATTTTTCTATTTTCTCTAAATTCTTGGACTTCGGTACTTCTTATTTGAGCCCAAATGGACATAAAACTTCTGCTTCTATTTATAGCTTCTATTTTTATAATTATACCAACTGCATTCAAAAGGGAAGAGCTTACCCTATGCTCTCTCAGTAGGGTGATTTGTATGGCACAGTAATCTCAAAGTTTCAAAGAAGACCAGAGCCCACTCTAATAGTACCAGCATCAAAGCAGAGCAGGCACACCCTCCTGAAGAGTAATTAAGACTTTATTTTCACATGTAGGGCTAATTCCTCCAATTAAGAAAAGTTGATTCTTGGGAGCTCCCACGAATCAAAATAGGAAGGGCAGCAAAGATGATCTGAGAGCTGGAGTACCTCTGCTGCGAGGAGAGGCTGAGAGAGTTGGGGTTGTTCAGCCTGGAGAAGAGAAGGCTCCAGGGAGACCTTATAGCCCCTTCCATTACCTGAAGGGGCTACAAGAAAGATAGGGAGGGATTCTTTACCAGGGAGTGCAGTGATAGGATGAAGGGGAATGGTTTTAAACTGAAAGAGGGGAGATTTAGATTAGATATTAGGAAGAAATTTTTCACTAAGGGAGTGGTGAGACACTGGTCCAGGTTGCCCAGAGAAGCTGTGGCTGCCCCATCCCTGGAGGTGTTCAAGGCCAGGCTGGACGGGGCTTTGAGCAACCTGGGCTGGTGGGAGATGTCCCTGCCCACGGCAGGGGGTTGGAATGAGATGATCTTCAATGTCCCTTCCAACCTAAACCATTCTATGATTTTACAATTCTATGAATATTTTGTCAATAGGTAGTTCAGAACAACCAAAATAATTAACGAAAAAAAAACCAAACAGAACCAACATGTATATTTAAAGAAATTTATTTATTTTTATTTGTTTTACGAGGAAGAAATATGTATATGGTCAGACTGCATGTGTGTTTGGGCAACTCAGTGTGAATATCCCTACAGCTGACATATTTGTCCAACTTTGGCCAGTTGACAAAGAGGTAGAGATCCAAAGACTGTGAAATCCATTTGAGTTTTGGGGAAAACACAGGTGTAACAGAAAGGTGAGAGAAATGTCCAGATTGGAGAAGAGGTGCTACATGAACTTGACTGTTATGACACACTGAAGAGTCCATATGAGTATGCATATCCAGACGCATATACAAATTGATAAATATACAAGTTCACAGCCTCCTTCTGCCATTTACATGTCCTATTTGCAGAAAAATCTTCAGCTGGAGTTTTCACGTTCTTAGACCTCAAAGTATCAGCCAGGAGGTACAAACTGGAAAGAAACCTGGCTCTTCTTGTTCCAATAATCACAGAACTTCTTGGTTTGTTTTGTCCTTCTCTCACTGAGGTTGCGGGAATCCATCCAGAATGCAAGATATTCCAGCAGGTGGTCAAAGAAGAGGCTCTCTGCTTAGAAAGGAATGAAACTGTTTCACCTGATATTAAAGGTAACTGTCCTGGTTGTCAAGCTCTGATGTGAATATCCCTTGTATATAATTTCAGGGGCACAATGTCAAGCATTTGTTCTCCCAAGTCAAGATTTGTTTCCAATTTTATTTGGTTTCTTGATAGTTTGAAGTGTTTCTTCAATAACCTGGGAGTTCACCTCATCTCATTTTAGACATCTTTAAAAGCTCAGTGTCTATGTCAGGACTTGTCTTCTTAGATTCCCTTAAAGTAAGTGGAGGAAGATGGGTGTCCCTAGAACATGTGTCATTGCCTCTGGTTTAGGTGTTTGCTTTAGAATGAGATTAACCATTCTCTGGAGTAGTATTTCTCTTTGCTAACTACAGAATGAGACTACAATGATTAGGTCAGACCCTGACAAGTTTAGATGCTTGGTTAGGGCAGGAAAACACTGCTTGGAACGTCTTACATGCCTAAAGTATTTGGTGTGTTCTTTAACTATATCCAAAACTCCAAAGAAGCTTCCACAGAAAACACTGAGATGCATGCTGAAATTATATCGTGTTAAGAATCATTCCAGTCTGGTGAAAATGTTCTTCAAGAAAACATAGAATAATAGAATCATAGAATAGTTTAGGTTGGAAAGGACCTTGAAGATCATCGAGTTCCAAACCCCCTGCCATAGACAGGGACACCTCCCACTAGACCAGGTTGCCCAAGGCCACGTCCAGCCTGGCCTTGAACACCTCCAGGGATGGG